TCCATTAGTGTGGACAAAGTGTCTAAAGACGAATTGACGAATCGCAATTTTTGGGCGTAAAAATGATGCAACAATTCGCATTTTACCATTGTTTTGCGAATTCGCACCGAATTCGTAATTCAATGCGAAGTGATGCTAACTAACAAAAATGATCAAAAACAACCAAAAAATTGCGTCTTTTCTTCCTTTTGCCAATTCGAACAGAAATAGACGAATTCGTAAGAAAGTTATTTCCGGTACCTACGAATTCGTAAATCGAATTGATCGACCATCGACGAATTCGTGAAATGATCATTTTGGTTCCCAAGAATTCGTGTACGAATTCGTAAATTGGCAAAAATACGATAAAATGCGAATTTACGAATTCTATTTACGAATTCATAGATGCCAAAGCATAACCGACGAATTCATAAATATTAATTGTTTTATAAATTGATAAAACAAATATCCAGATTCTCAGACAAAATGTGCTGCGGGGAGGCTTTCACCACTATAATTTAGTTTGATCGAAAACTTTTCTGCATAATAATTGAGAAGCTATACATCACTCGATGCAGTTTTTTTCGCTAATTCCGAATATGTCATTTTTATTGAATAAAAAGGCTTCTGAATCGAGAAAAATAGAAAATACCTGAAATATAAAGGGTTTTTGGAAAACCTGCTTTAGTATACTTTAACTTATGACGCCATTAAATAGTACATAGTTCGAACTATCTGTAGCACCATTTGAATTATCTAAAAGTCGATTTTCACTTTTCACCTAATGTCCGTCTGCACGCACACTGTGCCTGCATATCTAACGTTTAACCATTAATTCTGTGCGAACATCAGCAAAATTGTGCTTCATTATGCGTTGTTTTGTATAAGATTCTAACTGTGCTGTATGATGTAACTCGTCGTCCCAATTCCGGATATGTGAAAATCTCGAGACTTGCTTCTCTGTAGGAATTTACGGTTTTGATATAAGACGTCGGATTCACAGAGAAGAATCAAGTAGGCTTTTTGGACCTATATATACCAATGATTCCAAACTCCAGGATGTAATAGCCCAAAATCAACTATTAAAGCGCAGAAATATTAAAAGTGAATAACTAACTGTTCCCATCCGGTTCTGTCATGATCTTTTCAAAATCATATAAGATCATGTAGAATTCGAATGTTAGACTTCTGAAGTGACACGGAACTATTAGGTCATTAGAATACGAAGTTTTCGATTACCATTATATTCATCATCAGCTGTACAAATATATACACACTTTTCGTTTGTCCTTTTTCAGTACAACTCGAATTCTACATGACTTTAGAAGCACTGATCTTTTAAAAATTGGAATATAAATTTGGTGTTTTTTAATTGGTGGAAGAGATATAATTACATATTGTCATCGGCTGTAGATTGTGATGTAGCGTTTTCTGCACTAGTCATATTTACAGCACTTCAAAATCAAGGTGTACATTTTCCAACTTTGTGGGGCTCAGGAGGTGATTACGCAGATGGCTGTCCACTATCACATGCAAACCACTCAGGTATTTTGTCCAAATTACCCATCCTCATAGAGAAATTGTTATTATTGTCCTGTAATAATTGCTTAATGGCAAATAAATGTACATGAAATTCCTGGTGAGAAAGTGAGTGACGCTTTTCATGAAATGATTGTATCAACGCATCTACCACGATATAACTTAGTTCTGAATTATTGCATAGTGTATTATTTTTTTCTTAAAACCTAGTAAAAAATACCATACTAGCAGCTATATCGCATACTGCAACAATATCGCCCGCATAACTCAGAATAAATTGCTTAACTAGGTATTTTATGATGTCTTATCAAACTGCAAAAATCTAAAACTTTACATACAGCAATCAAGTCGTCTTCTCGGCAGAAGGTGTGCATACCTTACAAATACAGCCTAACTTTAATGAAGTATAAATCTTCCTATGACTGATTTGAAAAAATATTTTCAGCTGGCATGACAGAGGTTCGCTACGATCCAAATTATAGCTGGTTAACAATTTATTTTTCAAGCGATTTTGAACTGATTACTCTTTCTTCTTTTCAACACGTCTTTCGATTCGTTATTTCCAAAAAAGTGGAGATGCCGAGTATCGATCTCGGTACCTCTCGCATGCTAAGCGAGCGCTCTACCATATGAGCTACATCCCCATGTTAGACGATGAACGAACAGAGAATATAAGATAAAAGAGAACATTGTAACATTACAATAAAATGATCTTATATGATTTTGAAAACATCATGACTGAAACCGGTTGGGAACAGTTAGTTATTCACTTTTAATATTTCTGCGCTTTAATAGCTGATTTTGGGCTATTACATCCTGGAGTTTGGAATCATCTGTGTATACAGGTCCAAAAAGCCTACTTGATTATTCTCTGTGAATTCGACGTCTTCATATCAAAACCGTAAATTTCTAGAGAGAAGCAAGTCTCGAGATTTTCACATATCCAGAATTGGGACGACACAACAGCCAAACGCGCCAGCGAAGTAGGCCGCCAAGTCAACATCCAGAAGACGCAAGCGATGACCAACCAAACCGCCAACAACGGCACAATCAATCTCGACGGACACGAAATCGAGTGGGTAGATAACTTCAAATATCTCGGTTCAATGATGTTGTCCAGCGAGACCGACATCAAAGTGCGAAAAGGCCAAGCCTGGGGAGCCTTCTGGAAAATGAAAGATATCTGGCGCTCAAAGACAATTCCAACTCGTCTCAAGATCAACATCTTCCAAGCCTCGTGTCTTTCAATACTCCTATACGGCTGCGAGAGCTGGATCATCACCCGCAAGCTTGAGAGCAGTTTGAACAGCTTTGCCACCAGCTGCTACAGAGTAATACTCAACATCAAGCGTCTTGACAAGATATCGAATTCAACTTTCTACAAAAAGACCGGACAAGAACCTCTGGTGCAAACAGTGCAACGACGTCAATTGCGTTTCATCGGTCATTGCCTTCGAAGAGATGCGAGGGAATTTATCAACGTGTACGCTCTCTACTCACCGAAACCAAGTCATGGTAAGCGCAAGCGGGGCAGCTCCCGTCTAATGTATCCCGATCACATTGCGAGGCTAATTAACAACGATACACCACCATCGGTCGACGAGATTAGAAAGGCTGCCGCGAATAGAGAGAACTGATCCAAGATTGTTGTCGCCTGCAAACCTCGATTGTTCGCAGCCGACCGATGATGATGATGAAACTAAGTTATTATTGATAATGTCATTGGCCGAATGAAAGAGAGAGCAAAAGAAGAAACAATTGGAATTTGTAAAATTTATTCTGAAGAAATGGAAATGCTACGGCAATTTTTTATTTACTTCTAGATGGCGATGACGGTTTAATGATTTTTATTCATTTTTTATTATCATATTCACTTTGGCATTCCAATGGTATATTTGGTGTTCGTCCATTATTATTTGCTGAATTGTATATTATATTTGTTTTTAATAACGGATATATGATTCCATGTGCTTATTGTTAATGTGTAGGGCTGTTGAAATAAACTCCAGTTAAAAAATGATTTCTTCACGAATAATTGTCTTATTGTGATGTTGGGCTTGTGTTTATAGATTATTAATTATTATTGTTGTTCTTTTTATACGAAGTTTATTATATAAATTTAAAAGCCGAATAATTTACACTGTGCTTGCATTTGAGGGACGAAGCAAGAAAAACGTTCTAAAGGTTGAATTGAGAAATCAGTTAGGAACGAATCGAGAGTAAATCTGTTGAAAGAGAGTGAACCAACAAAGTAGTAGAGAGAAAAAAAGGACTATTTTGAATGAGAAAATCATTAAGACAATACATATAAAAAGCATATAACCCAAATAGAAACAGTCCAATGAATATGTTACGTGAGAGTTTAGAACACTGAAACCGCATTTGAATGTGAAATATTGTTATCATGGTTCGTTGATGATCGCTGAGACTTCTCTTGTTTTCGTCGTCTTATTATTTTAAATACATGTATCTTAGCTCTAAACCAAAAATGTAGTAAAATTGCTAGAACACATATACAAGCAAATGTAAGAAATAAACCAGCCAATGACTCAACGGTCATACTACTACTGCCAGTTGCAGCATCGCTACTACTCCCACACGTTAATGTATTAAAATATTTTCCCATTATGCCTTCTAATAGACCCGATTCTTTTATTGTTAATAATTCGACATTTAAAGCCTGTTTATAGGGCCATAGTTTGGGTAAATCAATTGCAATCGATGTTGCATAAAATGGATCACCTGCAAGTGTTAATTTACAGTATATATTATCAATTGCATAGACAGCTGACGCACCACTAGCTACAGCCACATCAATTGTATTATCTAATAATTTTGTAAATATATCTTGAGTTGTTGGTAAATGATAATAATCTGTACGTCCAAGTGATATTGCTTTCAAAAAATATTCTTCACCTGATGTGCCACTAACAACGCCAATACGACTATAAGGTATTTTATTATTTATAATATCATTAATACCTGTTATTGTTGATTTTGCACTTTTTACTGTTAAAAATGATGTTAATTGAGCTGTGTATGTTGCCATTAATATTAAAGAAAGAATCCTTAAACCAAGTGTTAATAAACGACCAGCGGCTGTTGTTGCACCAAATTCAGCACCAAAACCGAAAATATTTGCTAATGAATACCACATACTCAATATCGTTCCACTGGGTAATGATCGAATTTTCAAATCGTTATTTTCTTTATGTTCAAACATCCAAGTTAATATTGCACCGAATATAATACAGCCTAATGTCGTCAACCATAACGGCAATGAAAATGGATCCAAATATGAGAACCAATTTAGCTGAATGGATGTCGGTTTTCTTACAACTAATCGCAATGAATTAGCATAGATTGCCGTTGAAAAATCGACACGAAGTGTGCGACTAGATGTTATTGCAAGATCACCTATAAATAAATACAATTATTAGTATATAAAACCAAGTAGACTTCATCAACAGTACACTTCAAGTTCATCTGAACAATTTTTTCCTAACAGTTGATTTTGAAATCAGGATTTTAACATATGTGTTCGTGAAAACGTCTTTTTGACAGCAGAATTTTGGAAGGAGTTCTAGTGAACCTTTTTGCTAATAAACTCACAATGTGACTTCTTTTCTGTTTTTTGTACCTGAAGATGTCACTGAAAATTTCAGACAGTTTACATTGACTTTGAAGAAGACACAAATTTATTAATAAGCATTAGTTTATTAGCTTTATTTTCTACAAGAACTATGTTTTAACTTACGACAAGCAAACATTGTCACGAGGCTCGGCATACTCTATTACCTATGATCCATCTAATGTGTAAGTTATCAAAAGCCTTTAGATTCCTATGATGAGGTTCTTAAAAACATTTCGTTTCACTTAAACTGTTGAGATTGAAGATGTCGTTCAGACTCCATCCCGCTTAAAAAGTCCAGTATAATACCTCTTTTACAGTTTGTACAAAGATTTCTTATAAAAGATTTTGAAAGTTGTTGTATCATAAAAAGAATTGCCAATACTTTTTTGTTGCAAGATGGTCAAATCCAAGTTCTCCTTTTTCTCGAGTTAAATGATCAGTAGTAAGCCACACGTCAACTTGAAATGGACAGTAGTTTATCTCGACGTTTAATAATCAAACCAAACATAGTCGAGTTTGGGAAATCACTGTTGTTTCAGAGAAAAATAGTAAAGATGTGAAATAGTAAAAAAGATTTTTAGATAAATTTCTTTAAAATTAGTCTTTTCTTCACAGTACTGCTGTGCAATCCTTGTGAGAAATTCAGAAATTCATCCTTCATCGAAAATATAGGTAATCGAGCATGCTAAGTCTCATGGCAATATTTATTCTTACTAACCTTATAATTTAGTGAAGATCTCCTTTAGATGAAATAAATCGTTTTAAGCTATTTCATCCAAAACTCACAAATTTGTTTACCGAAGGAAAATAATTTACTGAGTTTCTTTGGCGAAGTCGAAAAGACCTGGTTAACTTCCCTAGTGAACAACAAGTACACTTGAAAACACTTACAAAGTCATATAAATCATTCACATTATATAGATACTACTGACATGCCTTTTATAACAAAAAATTCATTGGCTTTATCTGGCCTATTCGAAGTCCGAATTTTTATATTTTTTATTTTTAATATAATTTAAATCTTTAGAGAAAATAACTTGATCGTGTCTTATATACCCAATAGACCTGCAAAAGTTCAGCATTTCTTTTTAGCGTTCTCTTTGAACGTGAACGGCAAAACACGTTGGCGTTCCTTGAACGTGAACGCGAAACATGACGTTTTTTGAACGCGAACGCGAATTTCTGATGAACGTTAACGTTCTTTTATATGAACAGTGTTGATCTTGTGTAGAACGAATAGTATTGCAAAACGTTATATAGCAATTTCACCTAGTAGTATACCAAGTGAAACAGCTTTCTCCATTACCAGTTATATTTAGTGAAAAATCAACGCTCGTTTGTCCCAAATGGGTTAGGATAACAAAGGAAAACGTTTGTAGTTACTGTAATGGTTTTGACCAAGGAACTTCGGTTCTAGTTCCGAAAAAACTAGTATTCTGGTCAGAAAATCTGCGATCTGTTCTTGGAAGAATTAATGTCTTGATCAGAGAATCAAGAGGTATCCTTTTACATTGCAATAATCTGGTCACTGTCCTGACCAGACCATCTGATCCTTCTATTGATAAGACCAAGCAGAAATATATATGTTCTTACTATAATACAAGAACAGAAGTCTATATTTACTTCAGACGATAGGAACTCCATTCGTATAAAAAAAGCTCACGTCCACCAGTGCTTTAACGCTCACGTTCAAGAAACAAAACGTGAACTATTCTGGGCCTAATATCCAAACAAAATCCGTAAACATAGTAGAAAATGTGATCAAAGGATCATTTGTTTCACTTACATCTTCAAAGTACTGTCTTACGAGGGAACCGTCCCAGTTGATTAATCGTTTTAACTGTGGAATTACTCTTCTTCTATGTAATTGTCTATTCTCATTATGAATTCCATGGCCCAATTTCAGTTTCTCAGCCGGAGTTCAAAAACCATGACTCAGAGACCCAGAAATTAAAAGTGTTGGAAAAGGAGTCTAAGTCAGCCGTTTTGTAGCCTGCATCAAACTACCTCTAATCTGTAACTTTGACGCTTCCCAATTGAGTTTTAGAGGCACTACAAATTGTTTTTCATGATACGGTTCTCGCATATAGTGACCATACGATGACTATAAGACGCGTCGTCTATATGAAATTTTTGCGTGCTATTGATATGTAAGTTGATTCTCATAGAGGTATACCTCGAGCTATGGTCTTCGATTCGTATATACCCCGGGGGGGGGGGGGGGGGGGGGGGGGGGGGGGG